TTTTCATTATCCTCGGTAATTCTATTATTCATTTCAAGTAATTCATCAATGATCCACTGTTTAGCCTTATTTTCGTCTGACAAATACTTAGTTTTAAATCTTGGGTCTAATACTGTAGCTAATACAAAACATTTTCGATCTTTGATATTGAATCCTATAATACAAAATAGAATTGTTTATTTTAAAGAAAAAATATTGTAAACTTATTAAAAAATGAACATTATAATAATACCTATAGAACCAAAAAATCGTTCTTCTATCGCTTTCTTCAATTCTCCCTTCAACATCATTATTCCAGCATCCTTTTGTCGTTTTGAAATATATGAATGTAGAGTAACAGCTGCCGGAATAACGTATCTAATTGTCTCGCAATCAGAACTTGTTATTTTAGTCATTTCTTCAAATGGTTGGAGAACACGTATAACGTTTTCAACTATACTCCATTGAACAGCTGTAAGAGTTGGTATATCTTTTTCTGCAGCATATGCAGTTACTGCTTGTCTTTGTTCATGGAGTCTTGACAACATATAAAATGTGGAGTTCCACCGTGTTGTAACATCTTGGATTAATTTATGAATTGGCAACTTCAAACTTTCCTGAATGCTATTGAGTTTTGAGCAAGCGAGTGAAGAATGGCTAAAATGTCCAACAATTTTTCGACATTTTCCCAAAATTTCGACAAAATTTCGATTTTGCTTCCTCATAGAGGAAGCTTTGTTTTCGTGAAAAAAATTTTTTTCCAGTTTTCTTTAGCAATATGTTTAAAATGTTTTAAAACGTCTAAAAATCACATTTTTACAAAATGTCTGTGTGTGCGTGTGCGTGTGCGTGTGCGTGTGCGTGTGCGTGTGTGTATGTACGCATTTGAATGTCCGTGGTTGCTCTAACTTCCGTAAATTTTGAGATATCGGGCTTATTTTTTTTTAATGTCGAGAATCACTAAAGGAAGGTTGGTATTGATTTTTGTGATAATCGGTAAATGGGTTTCTTTTTTAAAAAATCTTGAATTTTTTGAGAAATGTCTGTGGTTGCTCTAACTTTTGCAAATTTTGAGATATTGGGCTATTTCTAATTTTATTATTCTTTCCAGTCTTTTCTACCCCTATTTCATATATAATTGATTAATATTCGGTTGATTAGTTTTTGAGTTATAGATGTTTGAAATTTCACGGAATCCGTAAATGAACACTTTTTCATTATACTGGGTGTTTCAAAAGTGATGCTATAAAATGTAATGGTGAAATGTATACATTAGTATAAGCAAAAAGTCCTAATAAACATAGGTAGAGGTCCCTCTTTTTCATTATACAGGGTGTTTCAGAAATGATGGTACACAATGTAATGAAGAAATGTACACACTTGTAGAAGCAAAAAGTTTCAATACACATAGGTAGAGGCGTACCTCTTGAATATAGCGATGACCGGTAAAAAGTTTTTAATTTTTAATTTTTTTTTAGAAATGTCTGTGGTTGCTGTAACTATCGCAAATTTCCTTTAATAATGATTTCCAAAAATTTCAAATGTCTATAACTCAAGAACTAATTAATCATATTTTAATGAATTATATATGAAATTTGTGAAAAACCTGAAAAACAATATATTAGGTATACAAATGAATAATCCAATTTTTTCAGCTACATTCAGGGTTTATTTTAAATGAAAGTAAATGAAATTGTTCAATCAAAGTATTCGCCGTTGCTTTCTATAACTTTAAGCCATCTTTCAGGCAACTGATGAATTCCATCTCGGAAAAATGTTACGTCTTTGGATACGATAAAGTCGTCAAGCCATTTTCGGATCTCATCCACTGTTTGGAAGTGCATATCGGACAAGGCGTGTTGCATCGACCGGAACAAGTGGTAATCGGATGGAGCAATATCTGGTGAATACGCCGGGTGCTGCAAGACGTCCCAGCCGAGACTCATTATGGTGTCTTTTGTATTGGAAGCAATGTGTGGCCTGGCGTTGTCATGCAACAATTTCACTGGACGTTCTCCTTTGCCAGTATACGGGCGTTTTCGTTCCAATTCTTGACTCAAGCAGATTAATTGACGTTGGTAGCAGTCCGCAGTAACTGTTTCACCCGGTTCCAACAACTCATATATAATAACCCACATAGCACGTAATATATCAGTAATATCACAGTAATATTACATTTCCAATGTAATATAACAATAAAATATATTGGAAATATTACTGTAATATTACTGATATATCGCAGTAATATTAAAATGTCCGCCCAATGTAATATTACCGAGATAATCGTAGTAATATTACTGTGATGTATCACGTAATATTACTGTAATATATCACTATAATATTACTGTAATATTGTAAATAAATAGATTAATGTAAACTCGGGCATGACGGCCATACAGAAAAGATGGCCAAAAGGTATATAATCTCTTCAATAATTGTTAAATAGTGCGTTTTTGTAGTCATTCTCGATGATTATCTTTGAGAATGACTACAAAAACGTACTATTTAACAATTATTGAAGAGATTATATAGCCTGTGACTAACTTTTCCGTATGGCCATCATACTCAGGTTTACCCTATGTTATTTTTGTTGTTAATATTGTTTTATTACAAACAATTGTTCTACAGAGAAAAGTGACCGCAGGTGTACACAATAAAAATATATATTAAGTACATAACATCAGTGATTTTTATCGACCATATCTGGCAATTAAAATTTTTATTGCGAAAAATATTACCCCAGCCAGGATTCGAACCTGGGACCTCCCTACAATCCGTGACGGGCGTCTTAGCCAGCTCGACCACTGAGGCTGTGATAATACTATTCGAAATAACATATATTACTTAAGATGTTGTTTACGCGTCTATTTCGACTTTTAAGAACAGAGCGTCGATACGGGTTGTCGACCATACACTGAACTGTCGATACGCGATTTTTTAATTTCCCTGTCCCCTCCCTCCCCCCGATCACCTTCCCCCTATTACGGAGGAACACCATTTTTCAGGTCGATGGTGTATAATCAATTAGTAAGAATACTCTTAAAAGTCGCCAGTATTTTGGCAATATTGCATACGATTGTACCTACCAAACAACTATATGCATAATAAATTAACTTTTATAACATTTTGTTTCGATAAATTTGTATACATATATTATAATGCAGAATGATATATACGTTTGAATAACATTAACGAGAAAGAAACTGGTTGTATTACAAATTACCCTTATAATATTTTATTCATACTTCAATGCGATATACAGTGTCGGATTCGATATGGACGACTCCAAAGATTATAGTAGATTAAACTGGTGTATTATTCTCCTACCACCAGAAAAACTTTTTCGGCACGGTGTCATATGTCGCGCGTTCTCTCGCTGCGCGCCGTTCACCCGCTCACCGCTCCCCGCTCGCCCCCGTCTCTCATCGATCGATGCGTGACTCCACCTCTCGCTATCGATTCTTAAGAGATGTCAACAAACACACCATTTTGCATGTCTGCCGAGTCCGGCCTTCCGCTCCTCCGTGCACTTATTGGCTCAGACGTTTTTCTTAATTAGGCGATAATAATTACGGATTTTGTAAAATGGTATATAACTTTTCTTCTCAGTTTAACCCAATCTACTATAATCTTTGGAGTCGTCCATATCGAATCCGACACCCTGTACATTGGAAAGTGCCAAATAGCAACGTGACATTAAATGACGTCTTCATTGCATCTTAATGACGTAATAAAACGTAATAAGACGTAATTAAAAATTCATTTGACATCTTGCGCTACTTTGGATCTGATATATTGCAGCAATATTGCTATTATATTACGGTGTAATATTTCTATGTATGATAATATATCAGTACCCAGATAACAATGTACTTCCACGGAACTAGTATGGTGAACGTATGTCATACTAAACGTATCAGTACCGTAGCTACCACGTACGTGCGTACTGTAGGCATACGTTATTAG